CCCCATGTGGACAGAGCAATAGGTTTCAACTGTGTCATGAGTGCGCTGCATGAAAAATAAGGTGCTTTTTTGTCTGTTCTTCCGTACGACTGGCTAAATGCTGCTTTGCTACAGTTAACCCAGCCCAAGGGAAATTTGGGCCTAAAACTGGAGTTAACCTGTATATTTGTCATGTTATACAGTGTTCTGTAGCACAGCACTCTATCCCTCAGCCTCATCCGTTTGACAGAATCCATAACTTTATATCATTTTCATGTTTCTGTTCACTTACGTTCTCTCACTACAATACCCAACATGCATTACACAAATGCATCATAAAACCTGTGGGAATCACTGTGGTGTCAAGCGATCCTGACTTCTAGGCACTGATATATAGGCTAATTAATACAACCAAGCTAGCATTAATGTAACTCTTGTCTCACTGTCAAAAAACTTTTTTTCAGAACAAAATGGATGTCAGAGACTTGTTTTTTACCCTTTTAGACAGAAAAAAGACAAACCAAACTGAAGTAAAGTGTCCAGCTAGCCAGGCAGCTTTAGCGTTTACCCTGCTGTCCCAAAAGACAGGCTACACTAAATGTCCATATGTCTGTTACCACCTTCTCATCCAACGAGTCTTCTGAAATCAAGAGTATTAATAAGGAGTTTGCCCCCCTTTGCTGAAGTAACAGCCTCTACTCTTCTGGGAAGGCCCTATACCAGATGTGGGAACATTGCTGTGAGGATTTGATTGCATTCAGCCACAAGAGCATTAGCGTCAGGTACTGATATTGGATGATTAGGTCTGAATCACTCAAGCCCATCCCAAGTGTGGATGGAGCTTCATCACTCCAGAGCACACAGTTCTACTACTCCACAGCCCAGTGCTGGGGGGTTTATACCCCTCTAGCTGATGCTTGGCATTGGGCATGGTGATCTCATGTGCAGTGCTTTTCAGTGGTGCGAATTTGAACACCCGTGTCAGCAATGAACGAACCTTAAAGTCGCTGAATTGACTAATTAGAAGGGTGGGGACTCCTTATTAATACTTGAGTTCAGAAGAAACATTAGATGAGCAGGTGTCAGCAAATATTTGGACATCTAGTGCAGTCGTGATCAACTGGATTAAATTCAAAGTCCTTTTTTTGAAGCTGTGAATATGAACACATCGCTGGAGATCCTTTGATGATTAGTTCTGTGTGGTTTTCGCCTTTCATGTGCCCTACGTTCTCGAGATGAGAAATCTCAACCTTTCTTTCTCTTCATCGTTCATGAACAGATTGCCCCTGGCTGCTCTGGAGTTCAAGCTCCATCTCCTTCATGGCCATTAGTAGAGAGGCTTTCTCCTACTCTATAATCCAGCGCAAAAACTCAGAAAACATAAGCGCACGCACTCTGCCTGCCGGCTGCCAATTCACCATTCGGTCAGAACGTCTGAGCATGAATAGGAGACAGAGGATGAAGTGACCTCATCCTGAACTTGTCCAAGTTGAACAACCATGAAAGCAGGGAATAGCTAATGAGAACAGCCGGTGGAGCCAATCCCACAGGGCAAACGTATGATTTTCCACTACTTGCACACATTTTTTGGCCTTAAATGGTTGATATGAGTGGCAGAAGAAATTGCTGCGAATCATATATTCACTGAAAAAAGTGAAGCACTGAATTTACTTAATTGAAATGTCACATCAACACAATTCTGTCTTTCAGTTTACTGACTTTTGGTAATAACTGTGTTGATGAATGTTGTATTCATTTAGAAATGAAGCGAAGCCTCTTCAATGGGAAAAGAGCTGAGGGGCATTCCTATTGGACAGTCTTCATCTTTGGGCTTAAGTTATCAGTGAAATACCCCCCTGGTTCCTATTAGTGCCACTGTAAAGAAATCTGACTCCTAAGTTTCCTCAGAACTGAACATTTCACATCTCTTCTCTCTGAATGACTTTGTGTACGTTTGGATAGTTTGTTTACATCTGATTGAGTAATGCAGAAATGTTGGGTGCATTTCTCTGTAAGCTAGCTTGGCTAGTTAGAACTTGCATTGCTGATGAAAACAAATCCCTTCACTGACATAAACAACGCGTTTTTAGCTGTTGAACGTATGAAGAACTTTAGGAAGTTTGCTCTTTTAAGTCATTTAGACACTCAGAGCTGCTTCGCCCTGGCTGTTCCAAGTCACAGTGCTTGGCCCGACTGCAATAATAAAGAGCTCAGTAATTAGTAATTAGTGTAATGAGCTGAGTCAGGTGTGCAAGAACATAACTAATTTGTGTTAGACCATGGTGGTCCGGCACTGTGACCCCGAACACTGCTTTATTTAGAATAAATGCTGTGACAGCAAATACTGCTTTTTTTAGCCTTCATTCACACCAACAGAAAATCTGAGATGCAGAAGTATTTTAGGATGTCCATAACAGTAAAATATTACAGTATGACTAGATAAAACAATAAACCTAACAAATATTGCCATTTATTATTTAAAACTATGTTAGGATGATCATGTAAAAGATCCACCAGTCCA